TTGGAGGCCATCACTACTAGTGGCTAGGAGCTACTAGTTTGGAGGCCATCGCTATTAGGTTGGAGGCCATTACTACTAGTGGCTAGGAGCTACTAGTTTGGAGGCCATCACTACTAGTGGCTATGAGCTTGATGCAATGGAGCCCAGGCACGGAAGCGGTTGCAGGACGCTTTTGGGGCGTTGCAGCTTGCGCAGCCGGCCGCTTCTTCGAAGCCATGAAAGAGTGCACGGTGCCTCCTTTTTCTCCAATACACTGATTAGCGTCCTTGTCTTTTGCACCAAAACAAACGTCCTTGTGATATGCGAGTGGTTTTCCAGCTCCCAGGAAGATTGGCAAGAATGCACAAGACCTTTTATGACGCTGATCAAGAGGTGAGGATAATGGCTGTGTGTGTGTGTGTCCAAACGCCTGGCGATGTAGCAACATCTAAGGCTAGAGCACAACGAGAAAAGTGCACATTCGACGAACAGGTACTATCAAGTTCAATGCTTCCAAGCTTAAGTGTGAGAGGCTTTCCATGTTGATCACCCTCAAACTTGCCTACTCCTCCGAACAGCCAAAGCGCGTTCAACTTCAGCCAGCAGTGGACTCGCAGCGTGGTCATGCAGCAGCATCACATCAGGCTTGCAACACCAACAGTAAGGCATGTTTGGGAAAAACTGCGTCTGGCCTTTGCAGTCGCAGACTATCTAGAGATGTTGTATGTGTGGGGTGAAGGGATCCAAGTAGCGAACATTGCTCCTAGTAGTAAGGCCAGGAGCCCCTAGTAGCGATGCCCTTGCTACTAGGCCAAAGGAACCGAAAGTGCATCCCATCCAGATCCCATCCGTCTTGAACCTCTCAACGGCCCATGCTTTGCCTCATCTATCCACTTTCAGCACAGATAGCGGGGCTCGCTTTGGTGCCTTGCAAGGCTGCAAGGCACAAAAGGAAGAACTAAACAGACTTAGGAACAAGGGCATCGCTATTAGTAGCTAGAAGCTACTAGTAACCAGGGCATCGCTACTAACAAGAAGCTACTAGTAGCTCCGGGCATTGCTACTAGTAGCTAGACGGCCTCAACAGACTCAACCTTCCTGTGGTGTGAACTGCTGGTTGCTAACGATGGCAAAGAGGGTCACGGTCAATATATCTGATATTATAAAGTATGTCAATGTTTCTCAGTAATAAGAAGGCAAAGAAGGAAAAGGAAGAAGGGGTCTTAAGTCTCAAGGTTCAAAGAAAACACAAGAAATGAAAATTACACGACTAGATCCAAGACAGCAACTAGCTCTAAAAACAACAGCACTTGAGACGAATAGTAAAGCAATTCACAAAAAAATCAATGAGCGCTTCCAGTGACCCTGCGTGTGTCCAACAAAACACCAATCTAACATTCAAACAAGTGGGGAAACATGTAAGGAGACAATACAGCAGAGGCAGCATTGCGCAAATCGCCGATCAGCCACCGGTCATTAAGAAGTAAGAACCCGACAGCTTTCAGCTCTCTGGGGAAAAAGATAAACAAACAATGATGTCACAAAAAAAATGAAAACCTTCTAGTTTGTGGTAAGGAGTGGTGACCTCTTCTTGCATAAAGACGAATCTTGGAAGTGGTAAATGTTGCTGATTTGGGTGTTTTCGAGCCTTTCGTGCAGAAGTGCTGTCTGCCAAGTGCCGCATCGTTGGACGCCCATGCGGGCAATTCCAAGGCTGCCTCAAGGTACCTGACAATTTGTTTTGGGAATCTACCTTCTACTAGTTACTAGCCATGGCCTCCAACCTAATCGCGATGGCCTGACACAAGAAGGCACAAAACGGCACACCAGTGCCTCATGAGTGCGTCATGAGTACCCCTTGCATCACAAAATGGAAGAGGAATTTGTTCAAATCGTTTTCTGGGTGTGTACCCTGACCGTGATGCTCTAGACTCTAGCTCACGGGCAATGTTCTGGGTCACCCAAATTCCGCAAGATCTTCTCCATATCACTCACTCGCAAGGCCTGCCCAAGAATCCAAGTTCTCATCACAGAAGGTAACCAAGTAGCAATCTACTTTTCATTGCAGCAAGCTAATAAAACTTATGCCAGGCCAAGCCCTAAATAGCAAAAAAGATTTGTGGGCAGCGGCACCAGCACCCATACTCCAAAGCGCGCGCAGGCACCTCTTTCTATACTTGCCACACAGCAGCAGCACCCTACCACGAAGCAGCAGCACCCTGCAACAGCACCCGCACCAAGCTCCAAAGCGCACACAGCGGCTGCACCGGGATCCAAGCCCAACATCACACAAGCGGCACCACCACCCAGTGCACACAGCTGCGGGCGGCACCCTACAGCATCAGCACCCAAGCGCACACAGCAGCGGCACCCTGCAGGGCAGGGCTATCAAAAAATTACGCCAGCATAGACCCCAGATAACAATAACAAAAAGACTCTTGTGGGCACTGCCGTGGCACTCCCTGCAGCGCCCTCCAGCGGCACCACCCAAGCTCCAAAGCGCAGACGGCCACACATCTGGCAGCAGGACACCGCAGCGGCACCACCGCCCAAGCCCAAGCTTCGCAGCGCTGCACCCCAAACGCACACAGCAGCGGCATTCTTCCCAAGTGCACACTGCTACGTTGTAATGACACCTTCCTCCTCCAGAGTTTACCCTCTTTGGCTCACAAAAGGTCTGCTACCTGGAATGGCCCCTTCCTCCTCTAAATGTTACCCCCGCATGGCTCACAAAAGGTCTACTAAGTCTACTACTCCTTTATTTGTTTACTCACAAAAAAGGTATGCTACCTTGGCATTGGCATGGCACCTTCCTCCTCCAAATTTTATCCTCGGGTAGCTCACATAAGGTCTGCTACGTCTGGTGATAAAAGGTCTGCTACAGTGCTTCACACGATGTATGACCAAGAACTTTCCAAATCACCCTTTAACGTGCCTCGAAAGTACAGACCCAAGGACCAGACGACCGAGGACCAAGGGACCAGAGGACCAAGGGACCAGGAGACCAAGGGACCAGGACAAAGGGATCAGAGGACCAAGCGACCAGGGAACCAGCAGACCAGGACGAAAGGAGTACGGGGATTTTTTTGCTGATACAAATTAATGTGTTTGACAGGAATCTTTTTGTG